TACAGGAACAATGTCCTGAGCAGTGTGGCTATTGAAAACCCTTCACAAAAGGAGTTTGCCACAACAGGTACAAACTCACCTGTCTGAACCCACTGTGATTTTCTGTATTCCTTGTAAATCCTATCTAATCTGGGCATCATTTCTTACCACTCCTACAAGGCTGGTGCATGCACTTCCAGGCTATGGAGTTTAGCCAACTAGACCCTCCATCCCAAAACAAATACCAGGATGCCACAGGAACTACAGAAATCCTGTGCAGCACCAAGCTGAGTTGCAGTGCTTTGACCGATACTTAAGAAATGCTGTTTTGGGCAACTTCCTGAAAAAACAAGGGGTCAAACTCGGAGCCCACCAGCCCAAGAAGACCATGTCCCAGCACAACTGGGACATGGTGATCTGTTAGCAGAGAGACATCAGGTTGGGAATGGTCAGAGGAAAGGGCTTGAGAAATGGGTCCGTTCTGCCCCACATCCCAGAGTATTATTTTTTCACTTGGCTGATTGCAGGAGAGAAGGCCAGGAGACGTCCTGCCACTGCCCAGGGAAGGTTCTTCCTTCCCTAGAGGTGGTTGCCTAAGGGAGGTCAAACCGAGTTGTCTTTGGTAATACCACAGCAGGGTGGGTTTTGTGTGGCAACAACAGTGGATCAGCATTTGGGACAATCACAGAATCCCAGACTGGTTTGTGTTGGAAGGGAGCTTAAAGGCTCCAACCCACTGCCACGGGCAGGGGCACCTTCCACTAGAGCAGGTTGCTCCAAGCCCCTGTGTCCAACCTGGCCTTGAACACTGCCAGGGATGGGGCAGCCACAGCTTCTCTGGACACCCTGTGCCAGCGCCTCAGCACCCTCCAAGGGAAGAGCTGCCTCAGAGCTCATCTCAGTCTCCCCTCGGGCAGGTTCAAGCCATTGCCCTTGTCCTGTCCCTCCATCCCTTGTCCAAAGCCCCTCTCCAGGTCTCCTGGAGCCCCTTTAGGCACTGGAGCTGCTCTAAGGTGTCCCCTTGAGGAGCCTTCTCTTCTCCAGCTGCCCCAGCCCAGCTCTCTCAGCCTGGCTCCAGAGCAGAGCTGCTCCAGCCCTCTGAAAAGCTCTCACTTGTGTTTAACACTGGGACACATGGACAGCTATGAAAAAACTTGCCTCTGCTGCCCTCCTTCAACGATCCCATCAAGCTGTGATGCCTTTCATCACCCTCATCAGGAGGTGGCAGTTACACCTCAAGTGTCTACACCAACAGAGAAAACACGAGGTGTGGGATTTCTGCTGTGTGAGGTGGGAAGTGCAATACCTCCACCAGGTCTCTTGCTCTGATTATAAGCTTTTTGCAGCAAGAACCTCACCACCTCCTGCAGGCTTTTATACCACCCTGTGCAACCAAACCCTCCACCAGATATGCCTCTGTTGTTGATCGCTGTTACCAAAAACATGTCCAACAGACCCACAGTGGTCCTTAACTAGGAAAGTCAAAGCCTGTTTTGATGACACCTCTAATTCGTTCTTTGTGTCTTTCTTATGCAACAAAGGAAGCGTGCATCCCATGGAAAAATGATTCGTGGCATGTAAACAGGCATCATACACGCAAGGATGGTTGCACGCCCATAGGGCTGTTTCTCTTCAGGGCAGTGAAAGGTGCACGGCAGACCTCAGGGTAGGTGAGCCTCGCTCCTCCACAACGTGGTGACAGCATTTCCCGAGGAAAGGTGACGGGAAGGAAGCGGGACGGGTGCTATTTAAAGCACAGCCGGACGTCAGCATGGCTTTGCATGAGAAACAAAAGGTGCTTCGCTAGCCCAAGACGTGGTCCCTTCGGAATGTCACTGTCAGGGAGGGGAGAGGAGCCGCATGCGCCCTGTGCAGGGAACCACTATCATGTAAGACTGGCTGGAAACAAAATAGGCAGATTTCTGGGTACCAATGTGCTCTATCAGCTCTTTTGTGATAGCTGTTATAGACAGCACCAGCCAACCTGAAGATCAGCTATGAGGCAAGGCGAGCTGGACCTGTGCATCATGCATTGGTCAGCCTGGGGTTGACTCCTCGACCCAAGCTGCATGTCCACTTGTGAGTGGTGACTCCTGCACATGGCAGGAGGATGCCCTCCATGGCAAGAAGGATAAGTCATCATCCCGCTTGGATGAGGGGGGTCCTGGGCTGGTAGGGCTGGTGCTCCACATACAGGCATTGCTCCTGAGGTCTGGGGCACTGCTTAGCGCCAAGTGCTCACCACTTCAGGAGAAGGGGGAAAGCTGCCTGATGACAACCAGACCAGGGCTTTGGGGCCACATCTGCTTCTAACTGATGGATCAGGACAACCCTTCAACCATGCAAATCCACTGCATGTCAACCCTACCCCCCCCCCCCATCCTTTGCTGCCACCAGCTCCCTTCTCCAACCAGCTCTTCCTCCCTTTGGTCCAGGCATCCAGAGCTGTTTCCTAACACTGCTCTAAACCCATGTACCCAAATGGCCCTGCTCAGCCTTTCCCAAGCTTCCCTGCTTCCGATGCCCCATCCATGGTCAATTTTGAGTCTCCCCATATCCAGATGAGGTTTACAACAAAAAGCCTGTAACTCCCAACTGTTTTTCTGGCCACAAAATCTCAGCCTAAGGGATGTGTATACCACCTGTGTGGCTCCACCAGCTCCAAAATGAAGCTTTTCTTCCTCATAATGATGCCTGGAACATTAAGATAATAGCACTGCAATAAAGTGTGAAAAGCTTTGTAACCTGTTTGTGCTCCAGTACAGTCTGGGGTTTTTTTCCCTATTCCCTTTTTTCTTTTTATTTCTACCTTTTGTTCCCTATTTCTACCATATTTTTCTCATAAAGTAACTACTCTGAGAGCTCTGACATACTGCTAGAAATCAACTTTAATGAGCGAGTGCTCTCTAGGGGCAGCTCAAGCAGTACTAGAAGGACTAAAACTCCCTTCCTAGTCCCAAACGCACTGCAGAGGGAAAGGGACGCTGAAGACCCCCAGCATCAAACCATGTGTTGTGGGGAGAAGGGGCTGTTCAGGTCCCCAGTGGAAGTTTAGGGGATGGACTATGCCTTTTGTGCTTAAAGAACTATTTAAGAGACTGTTGTTTCCCTTCAGCTCCTTCTATCCAGGCTTCTTAGCTTTTTGCAATTAAAATAAGTATGTTTTTGTGCCTAAGCTTTGACACCACCATGAATGTCTGTGGAGGACTCAGGCAGGACTGCATACCTTCTGCTCTTCCCATTTTACTGCATTCATGACTGCCCAGGACTGAAACAGCCCCATGTCTCTTGCCACATGATGCCCTATCAACTGAGTTTTAAGGCTTCTGTCTTTCCTCCTTGGATGTTATCCCAGTGCTACTTGGTCTGCGCTGTATCTCACCCCACAATCTTCCAACCCCAGCCCAAGGCAGTTTCTTTTGCTATCACTCTTTGCCATCTGTGCAGGAGACAGGGATGCCCAGGGGAGCTGAATACTTCTGTCTGCTGATGGTTTATCTGAAGAGACCAGGAACAAAAATAAATAGAAGTACACGTCTGGTGTGGTCCCTTGGACCGGATGGTTTTTCAGGTGGGAGGGAAGAACCAACACACAATTCCATGGCTATGGTCCGGCGCAGCTTTGGCCATGGGCCTTCAGGCAGGAGACCCTTTGGACCCTGCAGTTCTCCTTTCCCACAGCACTACGCACTCTTCAGATGGAGAAGGAAGACTCGGATGAGCTGGAATGGGAGCGGGATGCTCCAGCCTCCGCTGCCTTTGCTTGGGGAGCCCAGCCCAGCGTGCAAGGAAGCCCACCCAGCTCGCTCTTGCAACACAAGCAGACTTCATCCTGCTTTTAACCATGTTTTGGTGATCGCAGGGCTGCGAACCAGCTGAAACAAGACCTTTTTCTTATTATTATTATTTTTTCTAAATCACTAGACTAAATTGCCTTTTAAATTGCGCACAGGAAAAAGGAGGGAGCCCCAAAGAGAAGAGAGTCTGCTGCTGGTGAACTGCCCAGCCCACAGAAGAATGTTTCTAGGATGCCTGAGCAAACTCTTTTCAGCTGTTTTTCGGTCGCTTGGGTAAAATGTGGGAAAGCCACGCACACGGTTAACTGCATCACGAGTGTTCATGGGTCAAGAAGTGATGGGGAGATTTGAGGACACCAATTACCATTACAGGTGCCTGTAGGACTTCCCCTAAAATCCCCCTGTGAGGAGGCATCACAGCTCAGACACAGATTTCAGCTCATTCTAGGAGCAAATATTGGCCACTTTTCCTCCTGTTCAACCACACTAACACTGCAAACTCCTAGTTTTAGAAATGTTTTATTGCTCTAGTTGTGTTGTCCCAGCCACAGCAGAACCCACTGGCAAAAATAAAGCTGCATGTACAACTAAGTCCCTTATTCCCTGCTTATTTTCACATTTAACCATAGTCACAATTCCTACCGAGGACTCTAGATGCCCTCATATAATTAAATACGCGACTTAACACAATTAAATATCCAATTGACCCAATTGAATTAACTCAATGGATTGAAATCACCAATGCCACAGGAACTCAGCTGCCTATTTAGCACATCCCCTTCCTTCACAAAGAAGGCATCCAAGGCGTGCTGCAAACCCTTCCCAACCATACCACTTTGCAGGTGACCCTGAAAGTCAGCAAATTCTGCTTTTCAATAGGAAGAGAGGAAGCATGTTGCAAGGACTCAGCTTTTACGGATAATACTGTACCAGCTGCCTCTTCTAATACAAGTGGGGGCATCTGACTATGCTGGAATAAGTGTAAGGGGAAGAGGAGGTCCTTAAGATAGTCCTGGAGCAATATAGGACGTACACCAGATTTAAAAGACAAACCAGGGGGATGCACAGACCCTGCATTTTTAGAATGCTGATGCTCAAATAAGGGTTTATGCATTAACCCAGAGCTGATAAACACCAGTATTGTACAAAGACACTCCAGAAGACAGAAGGGGAAGGTGTACAATGAAGAAGATTAAAAAACCCCACTAATGAGATTTCACCTACCTCCGGTCGTTTCTCCTCCTTCTGAACAGTTTTTTGGTGTGTGCGATTTCAGCTTCATGAGGCAATGGGTGGTAGCCCTGTAAAACAGAGGGAATAGCAGTGATCAGCTCCAAGATACAGGAGGCATCAATGTGGAAGGGCCCAGAGTGAGACAAAGCTGTGCACCCTGCTGGTGCCAGTGCACCTAAAACATCCACTTTAACAGAATCCCAGATTGGTTTGTGTTGGAAGGGACCTTAAAGCTCCTTCCACCACAC